ACAGAGAGACAGAAAGCAAGAAATCACTCCCCAGGGGAGATGACCACGCTTCAATTCCTTTTCCTCCGTTCTCCTCTCAGGATCCTGGGCACGCACGCACATGCGCCCGGCGTGAGTTTAAGCCACCGGGTCTGGAACTCGAACAGCAGTCGACTACGTGGGAGTCCAGCAACATAGCCATTACGCTAACTGCTGGTCCCTTAATATACACTGTTTTAAATAGGAAAAGCTATCCTTCACTTTTTAAAGTATTATTTTATTGAGCTTCATTTATTTTATTTTATTTTATGTGTTTATTTAATTTGACCAGAGAGGGACAGAGTAAGAGAGAAAGAGAGAGAGAGAGAAAGTGAGACAGTGAGAACACAAGCTACCAGGTCCAGGACTCAAACCGTCAGCCATGTGGGAGGCCAGCACCCTTAACCACCATGCCTCTGCCAGCCCCAAAACAACCCCTCATTCTAAGATTACATATGTTCTAAATTTTTTTTGGTGTTAAAATATTACTTTTACAAAATAAAAATTATAACATATACTATTTTTCTCAAAGGATTTATTTGCCAAAATTAGATATGATCAAATCTGTCAGTATCAAATATTTTTTAGAAATTGTACTGGTCTAGGATTTTGACCACCAAAGACCTGCCCAGAATTTACCCTCCTGCTGCCCAGTCTAGCCAGGAGCCAGGATAAGCCAATCAGCAGCCATCTATACTTGAGTTCTGAACAGCCTGATTCAGGGATTTCAACTATCTGAGACCCTCTGCCAGACTTCACCCTCCTGCTCCCCAGTCTAGCCATGAGCCAGGCTAAGCAAATCATTTTGACCACTGAAGATTCTCTGCCCAGACTTCACCTTCCTGCTCCCCACTCTAGCCAGGAGCCAGGTTAGAACACCCTACTTATTCTCTCTGTCTCTTTCCTTTTATTTTATTTTATTTTATTTTATTTTATTTTATTTTATTGGAGTTCTGAGTAGCACAAGTACCACACGATTTTCATTTTTTTGTTGTTTGCTTTTTATTTTTTTGGAGAGGTTTTTACTATAGGGCACGTGTAAGCACCAGAGAGACAGACAGAGACAAAGAGACAGAAAGCAAGAAATCACCCCCCAGGGGGGATGGCCATGCCGCAATCCCTTCTCCTTCATTCTCCTCTTGGGATCTTGGGCATGCATGCACACAGGCCCGGCATGAGTTTAAGCCACCGGATCTGGGACTCGAACCACAGTCAACTACATGGGAGTTCAGCGACATAACCATTATGCTAACTGCTAGTCCCACAATTTTCATTTTTTGACAAACAAAAATTTTCTTCTCTTTTTCTTTGTCTTTTTTTCTCTCGCTTTTTTTTTTTTCTATTTCTTTTCCTTTTCTTTTTACCTTTCTCACTTTTCTGCTCAGTCTGCACACAGATTTTCTAGACAGGTCTAGGTGCTCAGTAGCCAAATATCTGAATACTTTTAGGGTCAGATTAATCCTCAATTCTCATTGAATAAGCTGTGCAAAGGGAGAAAAACCAGTACTGTTTATAGACTGCAGGTCACCTCCTTCTGATTCCTCAGATTTAACTCCAAAAAAATAGGATAAAACATATAATCCATCAGATGACTAAAAACCACAGCAGAGTCACAAGAAATGTAAAAAAAAAAAAAAACCACTCTCCTCCAATGGAAAAGAATAACTCCTCTTCTTCCACAAAGAAAACAAGGGAACTCATGGAAATGTCAGATAAAGAATTTAAAATTTTCATAGTGACAAAGCTAACAGAGATGCAAGAGAAGAGACAACAAACTCCAGAAGATTCACAAAAAAAGTAACACCGAGTTCCAAGAGGTGAAGAAGTTCTTGAACAATCTGAAAGAGGAGATACACACCATAAAAAACAATCAAATTGAATCATTAGAGATGAAGGTTGTAATACAGGAAATCAAAACTTCAGTTGAAAATAACAAAAGCAGATTAGATCATGCAGAAGATCGAATTGCAGATAAAGAAGACAGAACCTCTGAGCTAGAGATAGTCACCAAAAAGAATGAGAAAGTAACCCCAAAAAATAAGACTAACATACGAGTAATACTAGATACCATTAAACACCCAAACATCCAGATCATCAGTGTCCCAGAAGGTGAAGAAACTAATAAGGGCATTGATAATCTATTCCATGAGATCCTGGAAGAAAACTTTCCAAATCTAGGAGAGAAGCACTCAAATATTCAGATTCAAGAAATACAAAGGACCCCACAAGAACTTCCCAAGGCACATTATCACCAGATTGATCAAAATCAGATTGAGATAAGATACTGAAATTGGCAAGAGGGAAACATCAAGTTACTTTCTAACATGGGACCTCTCAATGGAAATAATGCAAGCAAGGAAATAATGAGAAAATATATTCTGAGTGTTAAGTGAAAAACAATTTCAACCAAGAATACTATATCCAGCAAGATTATCTGTCATATGGGAAGAAAAGACAAAAACATTCTCAGATAAACAAAACCTGAAAGAATTTACCAATACCAAACTAGCTCTATAAGAAGCGCTCAAGGGAGTGCTATGTCAAGAAAACTAAAGTTGGACACACAGAAATAAGGGTACAAGAAACAACCAAGAGAATGCCCAGCCTAATGGTAGGGACATGTCCAGAGTTGAATGTTAACTTCCAGATTTTAAATGGAAAGATCATACCACAGTAACACTGCAAATTCAATAGAAGAGAGATCAATTACGTTAGCTGAACTAGTCAGATAGATTCTTTTGATTTTAGACTAAAACATTACTGATTGTCCATGATGCTTTGATTTCCATATTTAAGGATTTTTGCCTTCTCTTGAACTGCTGACAGGTTCATCTACTTTCTATTTGAACTGAATTCTAACCTCTTTCCCGGCTTTAAGTTTTAAGCAAATTTCTCTTAACAGTTTTTGATTTTGATCTATTAAAGCTAAAACTTTTTTGAAATTTAGAAATGCCATAAAAATACCTATTAATACCTATTTAATGACTGCAGTAAGCTTTATAGCCCCAGCGAGTTTCTACTTTACTCACTGAGGTTTATGCCTAAAGTCAGACGTGCATTCATAAATATGTATGTATCAGCTGTGCTTGCTATTGAAAGTCTTTAAATTAAGATCGTTAGTGAATCAATAAAATGTGAAAAAAAAAGGCATGGAGAACAACTGTACAGACCAGAGACAGTGTGTGAGAAGGGGGGAGAGTTGGCTGAGGGTGAAAGGTAGGGAATCAAGAGGTGAAAAAAAAGCAAAACGTATAAGAAACGAGAAATAAAAAATTATTTTTTGATTATAACATGTTTGGTAATATCCTTGATTGAGCCAATATACAATGTATACTGGATGGAAAATCTCATTTTGTACACTGTATTGATTTACAGTGAATGACTGCAAATAAATAAATAAAAAGAAATGATACTATTCTATGAAATCGAGACGTCTAGAAGCTACTAACACATAAGATTAAAACAAGATTAAAGGGACCAGCACTTAGCGTAATGGCTATGTCACTGGACTCCCACGCAGTCGACCGCAGTTCGAGTCCTGGACCCGGTGGCTTAAACTCACGCCGGGCACGTGTGCGTGCGTGCCCAAGATCCCGAGAGGAGAATGGAGGAGAAGGGATTGCGGTGTGGCCACCCCCGCTGGGGGTGATTTCCTGCTTTCTGTCTCTCTGTCTCTCTCTGTCTGTCCAGTGAGTGCACGCACCCCATAGCAAAAACCTCTCAAAAAAAAATTAAAAAAAAAAAACAAGATTAAAATAGATTAAAACTCATCAAAATGTCATTTCAATACCTAGTCCAATAGGTCCACTGAAGCCAATTTGACCTTTCAAATATCTTCTCTAATCTAGTTGGTATGATGACAAACTTCTAATCATGACTTTGATCCCTCCAGACCCTTTTTCTGAACAGACTTTCTCTGTCTTTCAGCCTTCCTCTAAATCCTTCCTTTCTTTTACCTAAAATTGACCCAAAATCAAGAAGCTTTTCCTTACCACCCATCTTACATTCATCCTTCTTTCATCTGAACACCTGTACCATTTTTAGCTATGTTTCATTCCAAGCACTAGTTTGGTCCAAGCTATCTCTAAGAACCACTTTGGAAATGCTTAAAACCATTTCCAGCATCTCAGTATAGATTTACCAAGATTGGGCACAGGAGCCATTAGTTTTTAAAAGTCCTCCCAAATGATTCTGACCCACAGCCCGACTTAGGAATAATTACTCCATATCATAGTCATTTAAATAAATATTACTTATGCATTCCTTTTATAACTTCTCTTAGGGTAATTGTTACATATTTATCCTAAAACTTCCTATTAAATATCAACTGTGCATGGACCATATATAATTATATAATAGAGGCCTTAATTTTGTTTATTGTTTGTTTGTTTGTATTGGGTTTTTTTTTTTTTTTATTGGGTTTTTTTTTTTTTTTAAGAAGTTTTTGCTGTAGGGTTCGTGCACTCGCCAGAAAGACAGAGAGAAACAGAGAGACTGAAAGCAAGAAATCATCCCCTGGGGAGGATGGCCACAGCGAAATCCCTTCTCCGTTCTCTTCTCGGGATCTTGGGCACGCATGCACATGCGCCCAGCATGAGTTCAAGCCACCAGGTTCGGGAATCAAACTGCGGGTGACTACATGGGAGTCCAGCAACATAGCCATTACGCTAACTGCTGGTTCCAAAGCCTTAATTTTTAAAAAAATCCTTTCAAATCCAGTTTTAATATTTTGACACACATATGTAGATATTTTTGAAAATAGTATATTATTATGGGGGACTTTATTGGGACATGAGAAAAGTCATGACCCATTTTTGCATAGAAAACCAGAAAAAATAATGTTATAACTTTACCGAAGACCCAATATATTGCAAAGAAATTAATGTACTTAAATTTATATTTATTCAAATGGACAGCTATCAGAATTTGACTAAAAAGAAAAAAAGGAAAAAAACAAGCTAATCTAAATATAATTTACTAACCTGTTTGTTGTTCTCTGCCATGGAAAGCTGCAACGCCAAGAGCATGGAGTCTGCACCACAGAGAGTAGTTCTCTCAGAGTTACAAAGAACATGCCAATTCCTTCTAAACTCTTTAATCATATCCAAGACAGGCTTCTGATGAAGTACAGCCATTCTCTTAAAGTAGGACAGAACACAACATTAAAGTGTCTTATTTTAACTAGAAATTAACATTTAACATGTGTAAGTAAGCACAGTTAGAGAAAAATAATAGTGAACAAGAGGTCATTTCATATTTACCAAGATTACTTTTAATTAAATTTAAGAAAACAGGGTAACACCATTTCTGACCAATCATATTTTCCTCTCTTAGTTTTCTTAAGCCAAAATTTTTGAAATAACAAAATCCAATCTTCAATTTCGAAAATTCACACAAAACAGACATGCAGATTCCGCAAACATAATTATGGACAAAGACATAACTAATTAAAACTGTATTTAAAAAGTCATTTGTTTTGAAATAGATAGTAACATCTGTGGTAGGTTGAAAAAAATGCATAGTCAATTTTCCCCCCTCCCTACAGTGTCCCAAAAGAGGTGGTCTATTTTTCCACCCCTTTGAATCTGGGCCACCCTTGTGACTTGATCTGACCAATAGAATATGGCCAGAATGACATTACGGGAGTTCTGAGCCTAGGGTTAAGGGAACTATGCAGAAGAGTAAATGCAGCAGGCCTGAATACTATCTTTTAAAGCCTGAGTTTGGGAACTTGAGCTTCAGGATTGTTTCCAATAAAAGAAGCTCATTATTCTAAATTGTACAAACAGTAGAGTTTACATTAAACATTTGCTTTCCTTCTGAGTCTATTACAAGCTTCCCTGATAGGTAACAGTTCACGTATGTTGAACTGTTGCTGGAGGAATTGTGTCCTGTGTAATTCTACTTGAAGAAGGTTACTAAAAGCTCGTGTCTGGTGTCCCTTATATAATACTTTGCCCCCATGTGTGTTTTTCTCTTTGCTGATTTTTTTATCCTTTTGCTACAATAAATTATGGGCCATGACTAACTATCAATATAAACTGAGACTTCTGAATCCCCCTTGTCATAGTCTAATCATAGATTTGAGGGTTTCTCACCACAAGGCCTTGCAAATTCAGCTCTCTCTCTCTCTCTCTCTCTCTCTCTTGCTGTTCTGAGACTGCCATATAAAGATGTCCAAGCTACTTGCTGGAGAGACCATGTGAAGGAAAACCAAGGTGCTCCAAGTGACAACAAACACCAACTCACAGAGACTGAGGCCACTTTAGATTAGGCAGCCCCAGTCAACCTGCCAAGTGAACTGCGGCCACATGAGTGAACCCAGACAAGACTAGTAGAAGAATCACCTAGCAAAGTCCAGCCCAAATTGCTGATCCACAGCCACAGAATCATAAGCAAATAAAATGGTAGCTATATTAAAGCTACTAAGTTCTGAGGTGGTTTGTTACACAGCAGTAGATAACCAATACTATGGCTATAATTTAGGCAACGTTCTTAAATCACCATATTACACAACTTGTCCTGATGCAGACAAAAATCTTTCAAAATAATTTGATGTAGTGTCAATGTTTTATAAACCCAAGCCTAAATAAAGTGGCCAATTTATTTTTCTTGAGTTTACAACCATGCCTGCTTAAAAGTTTTTTCCTACTTTACCTGAGCTGTCAACATCATCTTATTTTAGAGTATTTCTCTGCACACATCCCATTTAACTAGTTCCTTCTATTATCCTTTTCTTCTATTTTTCTATGGCATAAACAGAATCCTAAATGTTTCCTAAGCATCTTGAATTTGTGTGATCAAAAAAGTGGTATGTGCCATTTAAAAAATAATAATTTAAATTAGAGACATAATCTGTGAAGCAATTTAAAAATACAGGTAGAAGATCATGTATTAAAAAATATATAGATAAATAAAAATCCTTATAAATAGCTAAGAGTTAGACTTCTCTTCAAAATATCACTTTCATCTCTTAAAAGAAGGTGAAGCTAAAACATTAGCTTTAGTAATAGGATCAGTGTGCCTGAAATACATTTTAGCAGTAAATTACTTATTGGTACTATTTAAAGGTATTAGGAGTTTAAATTGATATAAATGAAAATTTATCTGAAATTAGACCAAGCTGAATCCTGGCTCCACCACTTAACTCGCTGTGAGATCTTGGCCAAATTACATCACCCCTCCTTGTCGTGCTCTCCTCATACTGAAAATTCAAGTAATAGTCCCTTTTTTTGTAGTGTTTTCTGTGGAATAAGTGATATAAATACATGTAAAGCTTTTACAGCAGTGCCTGGCACATATAAAATAAATGATATATTATCATGCATGATGTGTTTCTAAGTTTAGAGTTAAAATTGAAAGAGCATTACTATTAATAACAGATCAACAGTCTCATTCAGGAGTCAGCAAACATTTTTGAAAGGGGCAAACGATAAAGTATCTGATGCATACAGGCCTTACAATTGCTGTCATGACTACTTGCCTCCAGCTTGAAGTATAAAAATAGTCACTGATAATACATTAACAAATGAGCATAGGGGAGGCGGCAGGCAGCGTGGTGGTTAAGGGCAGTGGACCCCCACATGGCCAGAGCAGTTCAAATCCCGAACCTCGTGGCTTGCCTTCTTGCTTTCCTTCTCCCTCCCTCCCTCCCTCCCTCTCCCTCTCCTTCTCTGGTCAAATCAAAATAAGTAAACAAGTAAATAAAGTTAAATAATTCTTTAAGGAAAAAAAAAAGAGCATAGGGTCAGCCCCATAATCTAGTAGTTAAGGGAGCCAGATTCCACATGGCCAAATTTGGTTCAAACCCTGGCCCTGGCAGCTTGAAAACCTGCCAGATCATGTGGCTACATACCCCAAATACTGACAGGATAGGAAAATGAAGATGGCATTGCAACGTGACCATGCCCCATAATGGGATGCCTTCTCTCTAGAAGTTCTGTGTCTTTCTGGCCCAGGGCCCCACGCCTATTGCAAAAAACACACATAACAAATGAGCATTGCTGTGCTCTAATAAAACTATTATGAACACTAAAATTTGCATTTGGGGCAATTTTCACACATCATAAAATATTACTACTTTTGTCATTTTTTTTCCTAATCACATAAACATGTGAAATCCATTCTTAGCTCAGGAGCTGGCTACACAAAAACAGCAAGATGCTTTCCAATCCCTGGTCTAGCACTAACTAGGAGCTAGCAGGCTGTGTGAGCCTAAACCTGAGCTTTACATCTGGGTGCTTAGGTAGAGGTTTCATCAACAAGATGACATGATTAAAACATATTTATTTATCTCCCAGTGAGTAGTGAGTTATCAAGAAGACAATGAATGTGCAAAAACTCTGACTGGCAGGCTGTACTATACAAAAAACAATGGTAAATAGCAGCCATGATAATAAACACTTGTTTTTTTAACATTGTATTCCAAGCTGCAGTGGAGTAAAAAATGTGTGAAAGGAAACTGTCCCAAAAGGCAGTGAGAGCAATTTGAAGAAATTCTATTTTCAAGTCAGACAGAGCAGGGTTCCATTCCAGACTCCCCCATTGTTAGCTGTATATTCTTTGGTATTTAAAAATCTCTGATGATCACAAAGTTCCTAATCTGTAAAAGAGGGAAGATAATTTCTAGAGAAGTATGAGACGTTGTCAAACAAGTACATAACCCACCTAAGTGCTGGGCACTTAGTAGGTGCTCAGTTTTAAAATGGCAGTCCACGTCTTTATGGTTGCCAGAATGCAAGTCCCAAGTGTTCCTTGGGAAGATACAATACTGAGGAGGGAAGTTGTGGGATTGGAATCTGTAGGGCATGGGCCTAGAGCCCTGGTTTGCTGCCCTATGACAGGTCTTTTACAGGCCCCCGGGGCCTCAGTCTCCCAACCTGCAGACACCCCCCACCCACCCCGGGACCCGCACAGGTAGTGGGAACTCGGTCCAGCGCCCCCAGCCAGAATCCAGCGAGAGCCCCGGCACTAATTATCAACTCAGATGGTCACAAGTCACTTAGCTGTCACCAAAACGCCCTCACAAGCCCCGGCACTAATTATCAACTCAGATGGTCACAAGTCACTTAGCTGTCACCAAAACGCCCTCACAAGCCCCGGCACTAATTATCAACTCAGATGGTCACATGTCACTTAACTGCCACCAAAACGCCCTCACGAGCCGCAGCTTAAATTACCACATGAAGTGGGAGGGCGGGCGGGTAAGAGGCAAGACTCACCTGTCTTGGGGCAGACCAGGAGGTGCCGACCTCCCTGAGGAAAAGTTCCACAGAGCAGTTTCTAAGGTGCTCCAAGCGCGGCAGGTTCCATTTCAAATCTCCCGGCAAGCCCCGCGAGCCAATCGCTGCGCTCGCCCTTCAACCCGGAAGCAGATCCTGCGCGCGCCGTGGCTGCTTCGGCTTCAGCCCAGCTTCCTCCTGGTGACTTCCCAGCGTTGTCTGGTGCGTATCGCGCGTAGATCCCACGGGCCGCGATCTTTGCTCCCCGCCACCTGATGCTGCTGTCCTGTCCCCAGAAGTTCTTCGCTACGATCTCTGGCTCCGGCAGTGGGAGCGGGGTTTTGCAGGACTCGCCTGGCCGGTGGAGAGGCGTCGGGGCTCATTGCAGGGACCTCTGGTTTCCTCCCTCCTTATTTACCCTTCTATTTTGTGAGGGGCAAGTGAAGCCCTGCCTGTACAGTGAAGCCCAGAAAATGTGATGACACTGGGCACTGCTTTCAGGAACAAGGGCTGCTACCAAGTGCCCTGACCCCGACTTCTTGGGTTTCCCATGCCACTGCCTCCATGGCCCTGTCTCATGCTGGTCCTCCTTTGACAGGTGTCCAGTTCATGGTACCTATTCAAGGTTACCATTCCTTTATAAGTTCCCTGAGGTGAGACTTAAAAGATGCTTATCAAATGCACAGTTGTTTTCAAAACCAACACTTGCATCTAATTAATTTTAGAAAAAAATTCTATTAATAAAAGCCAAACTTCTTATGTGAGAATGCTACCTCCGGAATGCACAGTAGGCCCTGACAGTTTAGTTAAAGCTCTGTACCTAATTTTATGAATATTATTTTTATAGCACATATTTTAGCACAGTTTTCTCCTGATCATGTATTTTGTATTGCTTACTTATAGCACTTTTCACACTAAATCATAATCACTCCAAGATTGTGACCTCCTTCAAGGTAGAAAACTTTTTCTTTAGCATGTGTGAACTGCACTCAGTAAAGAAAGTCTTTCAAATCCTGCTTTGCTTAAGAGCTTGGCAATTTAACTTCCTAAACCCCTGTTTTCTTCATCTATAAAATGAGGACCGTAGGTAGTACCTGCATTTGTGCAAATTTTCGATGTGATAATGTCAGTAAAAATGTTAACATGATGCCTGTAAGTAGTACTTCATCCATGTTAACATAAAACTACAACTTTTATAAATATATTTCGTACTAAAATAATTCCATCTTCAAGTAATCTTAGAAAATTTAAACAGAATTTTGTGGTATTATAATCTATAGGTATTAACAAATATGGCAAAGAGGAAAGCTATGGGGCAAGTATTAAACCACTGATCAGGTTGAATTTTTTTCTTGCAATTTCTGTCCTTAAGTATTTCAAGTATTTCTTTTGAGCTGTCTGTGGGAGTATAGTACCACCACCTTACTTTGTTCATTTGCTGTTTGACTAACACTTTGACCATTTTATCTGCGTTGGCCTCCACAGACTCGTGACCTTGTGCAGTAGAAGGCTGCTTTATTTTTACAACTGCTCAAGTTCTGACATACAAGATGAAGCAAGATGCCACAAGAAATGCTGCCTACACTGTGGACTGTGAAGATTATGTGCACGTGGTAGAATTTAATCCCTTTGAAAGTGGGGATTCAGGAAACCTGATTGCATATGGTGGCAATAATTATGTGGTCATTGGCATGTGTACATTTCAGGTTAGTGTACAAAACTACAGTGAATGACAAGATAGTTTCTTGAGTAAAAAACTTGCACAAACCGAAGCTAATCTTTGAAAGTATGTTGTTTTAATAAAATATACATAACGTATATTTTTTTAATATGAAGATCCATAGGAAAAGACATTCCCAGTATTGCATGTCTAAGATTTGTAGATATATTGCATAAATGGTGGGAAAGAAGATTATAAATATCTCTCATGATTAATAATGAAATATTCTAGTAATTCGAAGCTATGATTAACTGAACATTGATATGTATAAGAAAAACACTAAATGAAAACCAATTAATTGCAGTTTTTCTGCATTCTGCTTTGACATAGTAAACAAACTAATATTGAAAGCCTAAGAAATTATTATACAGGGTAGCTGGTGGCATGGTGGTTAAGGCCACTGGATCCCACATAGCCAACTGTGCAGTTCCAGTCTCAGACCTGGCAGCTTGAAAGATATACTGAAAGACATGCATAGCCAAAATCCCAAAAGGAGAATGGAAGAGGAGGGATTGCTATATGGCCATTCCCTCTGGGCATGCTTCTCTTTCTCTCTCTCTCTCTCTCTCTCTCTCTCTCTCTCTGATGAGCACATATACCCTGTAACAAAACCTTAAAAAAACAAAAATGCAGGAAAAATGTATAGCTTTTATGAATCAACTTTCCTATTAATATTCTATCATACTTTTTATTTATCTATAATATTTATATAGTATATACAAAATCTGAGAGCATATTAATTGAGAAGGTAGTTCAGCATAGCCACTAAGAGCATGAATTCTGGAGCTGAAATGCTTAGGTATATACACCAGCTTGGCTTACTTCTTTATAGCTATGTAACCTTGAGCAAGTACTTGCTCACTCTTCTATAAAATGAGGAAAATAATGCTCACGAGAGTGTTGTGAGTATGTAATGAGTTAATATGTGTGAAGTTCTTAGAAGGCATCAAGTACATTGTAATTCATATATGTATATACGTTTTAGTTGTCATAGGCATGGGCATTGGTGGCACTCAGTCATAGCCTTGTATTTAATCACCGAAGCTGGACTGTGGTGAGCACATACCAGGTTTTCTCCTAGGAAAGCTAGTTCTACTTATAAGAGATATTTTGGCAATGGAGTTTCAACCTTCAGGAGTCTGGTTAATCCTTTATTTACCAGAATATTAATCACAGAACCGCATTTCTCAAATTATAATTAATTGATGAGGTTATTTGACAATGACCAATTTTCGAAGATTTAAAATAACCTTGTGACTAAAGTGATCCTGTATTATTAACATTATCTCTCTTTTATTCGGGGGACAGTTCTCCATCTTACATGTGTTGGCTTAAAATTACAGTTCTGCATTTTATGGTAAAATAAGCATATATAAAATTGGGGTGCATTCACATTTATCCTAAGGGGTAATATATACTAAACGTTTCAATTTGTTGGTATCTGAGTAGAATATGAGAGCTCGTAGGCTATCCCACTTTGTCTCTTGGAATAGGAGTAGGCATTTCTAGCTTTTAGGCTACATATGACCTTCACCCTGATTTCAGCTGGATTACCAGGTTGATGCCATTAAAAGTCACATGACTGAAACAAAATACTCTTGAAAAATACTGAGAAGGAACCATTTCTCTAATGCAAGCCATTAACCTACAAAAGAATAAGGCAACCCCCTACAGATGAAATTTTACATCTTTGCCTTTTTAAAATCAGAATCTGTGAACATAAAACTTACGTCATTGCTTTTTTAAAATCAGAATCTGTGAACATAAAACTGTATTCAAATATGTTGAACAAATGTCTTTATTTCTAGTTTAGGCTCAGTTAATAAATATTGAGGGAGAAACTCTAGAATTAAGAACAAATTAGGAAAAAAGAAAGGCAGAGATGATGAGTGACAGGGAGAGAAAATAGGAGAAGGAAGCTGACAAAATGAGAACTAGTAAAAATATTTATTGTTTTTGTTCCATTATGGTTTATGATTAAATGCATTGTCTTAGTTGATTCTCAGACCTGTGAGATTGGCAGTATAGGTCTTATTCTCAAATTACTCAAAGAAAACTGTAGTGAACACAAATGATACTTTGTTCCAGGCATTGGAGATACAGTTAAACAAGACTATCCTTGACTTCATAGAATTTTCATTCTACTTCAGAGACCTGCAGGGATTTGCAGTGCCTAGTAAATGAAGAAACAAGATCTTGACCACATTCTTAAACCCCTATTTTTGGGGGTTTTTTTGTGGATCTACTCAGATTGACGCCATGGTTAAAATGGTTTTGAAGGAGAATTGAGTTGCAATAGCTTGCCCTTGGGGACTCAAAACAAAATATTGCTCCCCTTCTTTTTTTTAAAATTTAATTAAACACTATTAAGTGTTTTTCCTATTCTCTCATCCTAGAACCTTCAAGTACCATAGTACCCAATTTCATGCTTCTTTTGTCAAGAGAAAAGTAAGTAAAGGTAAATTGAATTGAAAGATTTCCACATTCCTGTAAGGAAAATAATCATCTTTTTAGGACTATAAAGAAAACACTGTAGATACAGTAGAATTAAATTTCAACAGAGCATTTTTCAGAATCTCATGCTGTTCTTTGAATCTAAGAACATATGAGCCGTACAGTAATATTGGTGACTGATGTCATGTTTTATCAAATACTCATGATAGGAGGTAGGAACTTAGAGCAAGGACCCTGCCCTCATAGAGCTATTTACATAGAAAGCAATGCCATTTAAAACAAACAAAACAAAACAAATGCTATGAAAGCCTATATGTAAAGTGCAGAAGGAGCATGGCAGTTCCTAAGTCTGTTTAAAAGGTCTTTGAATTGAATCCTCTCCTGGGACTTGGATGAGAATGTTGATTTAAGCACTTAGATGCTATTCATAAGAAACATGATGCTGAAATGAATGCCTTAGTATTTTGGATAACAGACCATTTAGCTGGTATTTATTGAGATTTAATGAGCACCTGTTTTATCCTCTGCTCAAGCTAAATATTATTTAATAGATTGTATTAATATGCCACATTGAACAAACTAAAATTTAATAAAGATGAATATCTTTTTTTTTTTTTTGAGAAGTTTTTGCTATAGGGTGCGTGCACTCGCCAGACAGACAGAGAGAGACAGAAAGCGAGAAATCACCCCCTGGGGGTTGGCCGTGCCACAATCCCTTCTCCTCCATTCTCCTCTCGGGATCTTGGGCACGCACACACATGCGCCCGGCATGAGTTTAAGCCACCAGGTCCGGGACTCAAACCACGGTCAACTACATGGGAGTCCAGCAACATAGCCATTACGCTAACTGCTGGTCCCTAAAGATGAATATCTTTAAAGTCTTGAAATGGTAGACTGCTAGAGCTGGATAAGAGAAAGGATACTATAGGTTTTTAGTCATCTGAATATTTGCCATGAGTCATTGCAATGATTAAACTACCAAAGGGACATAATACAGTACCATCTAATAGAAATGTAATGTTAGGGCCAGCAGATGGCATGGTGGTTAGGGGCACTGGACTCCCACATGGCCGACCATAGTTCTCTTCTCAGACCTGGCAGCTTGCTTTCTCATTTTCTCTCACTCTCTTGCTCCCTCTCTCTCTGACTCTGTCTCTCTCTGGTCAAATTAAAATTAATTAATGAATTATGTTAAATAAAATAATTCTTTAAAAAGAAAAGAATATAATGTGATCCACAAATATAAATTTAACTGTTACAGTAGCCAAATTATAAAAGGTAGAAAGCAGTTCCAATGAATTTTAAGAATACTATGTAAACAAAACATTTTACATAAAATCAATGTATAAAACTATTAGTGAGACCAGCAGTTGGCATAATGGGCATGTCGCTGGACTCCCATGTGGTCAAACGCAGTTCAAGTCCTGGACCTGGTGGCTTAAACTCACAGCAGGTGCGTGTGCATGTGTGCCAAGATCCTGAGAGGAGAATGGAGGAGAAGGGATTGTGGCGTGGCCATCCCCCCGGGGGGGTGATTTCTCACTTTCTGTCTCTCTGTCTCTCTCTGTCTTTCTGGCGCACGGGCCTTATAGCAAAACTTCTCCCTTAAAAAAAAAAAATATCTAATGAAGTATTTTATTGATAAATTCTTTTTCATGGTCTTTGAAATTTGTACATTTTACACTTTTAAAGAATACATTGTTGGGAACCAGCAGTTAGCGTAATGGCTATGTCGCTGGACTCCCACGTAGTCGACCACGGTTCGTGTCCCAGACCCAGTGGCTTAAAACTCACGCCGGGCGCATGTGCGTGCGTGCCCAAGATCCTGGGAGGAGAATGGAGGAGAAGGGATTGCAGCGTGACCATCCCCCCTGGGGCGTGATTTCTCGCTTTCTGTCTCTATGTCTCTCTCTGTCTGTCTGGCGAGCGCACGCGCCCTATAGTGAAAAAAAAAACCCTCTCAAGAATACATTGTTCAAATTGAACTTGCCATATTTTAAATGTTATATGGCCCCTCGTGGTTTGTGACTGCCATATTAGACCATACAGTTCCCTGTATATCATCCTCTACAGATGACAATAATCTTTAATGTATAATATATTGAGTTATCAGAAAAGTCATGCTGTGTTTTCCTATGAAAAAATGCATCATGACTTTTCTGACAAACCAATAATATTCAGTTCTCAGCAGTATATTATGATTCAAAAGAGAGAGTGTTTGTGAAGATAAATTTCAGAGTGCTATTAAAATGTTTTAAACTGTCATGTGCAGAGTTAATAGACTCAAAATGGTAAGTGGATTTTATGTTATTTGTCACCTCTATTTGATTGGAGTTGTAGATTATAGTGCCTTAAGACATGCACCATCTCCTTTGAGTATGTTCACTAAACTAGACTTATTCTATATGGTTCTAGAGACAGAAGTTGGAAAAATGTGAACAACTTACATGGAAATAGATTGTGACTTAATGTTAAAGCCAACTCTAATAATTATAGCCATCCTTAAATACAATTGAATTACCTCTCCAAAGAAGCAGCTACTTACTTCTTACTGGAAGTATTCAGAGAGGGATTGTATAAACGCATTTTTCAGATGTTATGGAGAGTCAAGCATCAGGTGAAAGAATTAAACTAGATAAACTTCACAGTCCTGTCTCACTGAAATTCTGTATTTGGCCTTACATGAGGGTGATGAAAGGGCCTGCCAATTTCAAAGCCTTAGACTAGCCCTTCACCCCAACCTCAAATATGCTGAGACTTGTGTAATCATTTGTATTATAGCAAGTTTTCCAAAGTGTCTTAATTTCCTGCCTATACAATACTGCCTACACCCCAGACTAAACCCCAAATAGCATTCATCTCTGCCTATACCACACACACACCCTGGCCTTTTAGTTGGCTCAGTGGCAGACAAGGCTGCCAGGAAGAAAGCTTTCATTGGTAATAAAGAAAGCTTAGGCTATAGAATCCCTGGGATTTCTTTATCCACTGACCACCCAATAATTCCACATATAATTTGTGTTTTAAATTGCACAACCTAATTGTCAACACAGTTGTGACAATAGCAAAACAATGGGTGTTTTTATGTAAAAAAAACTTCATTTTAGAAGATTGATTCATCAAGTGTGAGGAAATAAATGTAACACAAATTGTGAAGTCAGCTATGATTAGACTCCTAAATTTATTATTAAATTGCTTAGTGGTTGCTGCCTTGGCATATATGGCTGATAACTGTACAACTATTGCACACACAAAGTATGAAGTAATAAAATTTGACAGACTTTTCCTTTTCCTGATAAGTATATTCTTCTATTTCCTTCTTTAATTTATGGAAAAATTTTGCTGTTCATTCTCAGTTCATCTGAAATACAAAGTTATTTCCAAAGATATCTAAATTATGTAGAGGAAGTTGTGTAGTCTATTTATGAAATAACTTTGCTGGGATCTCAAATGCTATCCTGGAAAAATCAACACATCAGCTTGGATTCTGTTAGAATGTATATTATAAAACTGCATTTATCTTCAAGGTGAATGTATTTCTTAGAACAGGAATTACAGTAATTCCTATCTATATATTGATAGATGTATTCTATTAAATACCAAGTTTTACCTGCTCTGGATTTTTTCCCCAATATTTTATAATCTCATAAGCTTTTATAAGAGATAAGTGGCAGTTAATTTAATATAAAAATTTCTTGGGAAAATTGTCATAAAAGAATTTGCTTGTGGGGGGACCAGCAGATGGGGACATCCCCACATGGCTGACCACGGTTCGAGTCCTAGACCCAGTGGCTTGCTTTCTCACTTTCTCCCTCTCTCTCTCTCTCTCTCGTCAAATTAAAATAAATGAATAAAAAATAAATAAATATTTCTCTTTAAAAAAATTTTTGCTTTGGACTCTGGACCCAGTTTACATATTTTTCCAAGTAGCAATGATTTATTTTTTAAATTGTAATATTTTATGCTTATAAAATTAGATATTTAAAAATATGTACTATCTAGATAAGATACAAAGAATAATAAAATAGATCCTTTTTTATCCACTACCTAACTTAAGAAATGGAACATTAACAATTCTTTGAAGCCACCTAGGTATCCTTCCCTTAATTCTTTTCCATCTCACTCCCAAGAAATTTTGTATTGATGATTCCTAGTGTTTTTATATAGTGTTACCATATGTGAGGTATTCCAAATCAGTGTATTGTTTTCCATGTTTTAAGCTGTGTCAATTACATTATTCTATGCTATATTCTTCTATGCTTTACTGCTATTGCTTAACATGTTTGTTAGATTCCTCCATGTCAGAGTTCACTTGATTTCACTACAGTGTAATGGTATTTTATGAAATGAATGTACCACTATTTATCTGTTCCTAAATTGTTAAATATTTCAATTAATGATAGTTTTTCTGCTGGAAACATTGCCAGTACTCATATTCTCATGATTTCTGTTTTTATACTTTATTCTTTTATCCCTTGACAATAATTTTGAAGTTTTACACACTAATTCCTTTTTTAATGCTTGCCAATGACGTCTGAACTTGCATTCTTAATTAGATAGTCAAACTTAACATCTTTACCTTCTTTATGAAGAAGATAAGGACTTTAAACATTTAAATGGTTACTACCCCTCTACACTTAGTGTTTTCCCTATAATTTAGTTCTCTCTCAATTTTCTTTTTGTTTTACCCACAAATTAAATGTTTTTTCACATGGCAATTATTTGTTTACACTTACTTACCTGTTTGACTTTCAGTTTTTATTCACTCTTCCTTACATCTTTGTCTTCCTTCTGAGATCATTTTTCTTCACCCAAAAAGCACATCCTTTACTATAGGAGTTGGCAAACTGGGTTTTTGTGTTGTTTGTGTTTTTAAATTCCTTTTTAAAGACCCTGGATCTATGCAGAAATCTCTGGACATTTTTCCGTATACAGGCACTAAGCTTTGCCTTCTGGTCCTTCTAGACTGAAGCTTTAATTGAATGTGGGCACTGCATGCCTTGGTATTCAGTTACATTTCTGGATTTGAGTTTTTGTATTGTTTTTGTACTAGGATAGTTTACGGGGGTTATCCACATTATTAGAGATATATGATGGGCCAACCACTTGACATGGTAGATCCCACATGGCTAACTGCATGGTTCGAGTCCTAGACCTGACCAGGAGTTTGAAAAACATGCCAGGCACATGTGTGTGCATGCCCAAAATTCTGAGAGGAGAATTCAGGAAAAAGGATTGCAGCATGGTCATAAACCTGGGTGGTGCTTTCCCACTTTCTCTCTCTCTCTCTGTCTCCTTTGGTCTGCCTATCCACCTCTGGTGATCATGCTCATTCTCTAGCAAATTTAAGTAGATGATTGATTGATTGATTGACAGATAGATGATAGATGGCTTGACTTTTTTACTTCACTTTTTTCTTTTTTTTTTTTTTTTTTTTTTTGGTGAGAGAGCACGAAAGCACCCAACAGTGGGAGGCAATCACTGCAGTCATTTTTCCTCCAATTTCTCCATCCCATCAGGATTTTTGCAGGCAATCACACTTGCCTAGTGTGTTTCTCAAACTGCCAGGGCCAGGACTCAAACCATGGTCAGTCACTTGTGATCCAGCTTCCTATACATGGCACTTAACCACTATACTATAGCACTGTAGGATCCTGGTGGGCTAAGCTGGCTTGACTTTTAAAATTAATTTTTTTCCTCAACTTTCCATGAGAAAAAACTGAAATCTTCCTAGTAGTATCAACCAGGTAAATAAACCAGCTTTATAAACATTTATACCCACGATCAAATATCCATAACTAAATTTACTAGATTATTATTTGGATAGTCACTATTCATATAGTTTAGTGACACAGATGAGTTATTTGTAACATCTTACACATATATTGACATATATAAGACAACATGAAAATCATTGACGTAATGACTATGAGGCATAAGCTCCTAAAATATCTTCCACATAATCGAAACTTTGTGTTCAGTATATATTTATGTTGTCAGTTGATAATCCATATATTATCAATTAAATTATCAATTTTACATAATTTACCTAAAATGGCCTGATTCTTAGAGCATTCATTCTTATTAAATTTGTTTTTATTATTAAAGATAAAACATCTTGGGGTGGGACCAGCAGTTAGCGTAATGGCTGTGTCGCTGGACTCCAGTGTAGTCGACCACAGTTCGAGTCCCGGACCCGGTGGCTTATACTCACACCAGGCGCGTGTGTGTGCGTGCCCAGGATCCCAAGAGGAGAATGGAGGAGAAGGGATTGCGGCGTGGCCATCCCCCCGGGGGGTGATTTCTCACTTTCTGTCTCTCTGTCTTTCTGGCGAGCACACGCACCCTATAGCGAAAAAACATCTTGGGGCCAGCAAGTGACGTGGTGGTTAAGGTTCTGAACTCCCACATGGCCGACCATGGTTTCAGTTCTGGATTTAGTGGCTTAAGAAATCACACTAGGCACATGTGTGTCAAAATCCAAAGGAGAATGAAGGAGAAGGGATTGTAACATGGCCATCTCCCTGTGGGTGATTTTGCACTCTGGTCTGCATACACTCCCTATGACAAAAATCTTAAAAAAAAAAAAAAAAGAAAGAAAGAAAGAAAGAAAAAATCATCTCCTAGTTACATCACTAATATGTTTATTATGTATTTTTAGTTGCCTTAGAGAGTTTTTGATGCTTAGACAACTTAGGTATGGTGGGGGTTTTTTTTGGTGTTTTTTAATTCAGTATACTAGTTACTATCTAATTTGTTTTGCTAAGTTTATTTTGTTTCTTTCATGAGAGAGCGAGATGGGCACCCTCCATAATGTCTAATCATGCTATGATCCCCCCACTCCAGCCCTCTAGCCAGCCAGGATCGTTGGTGCAAGTATGTCCAGCATGCACAGGTTAACACAAGGACCTGAAACCCAGGTTTTCTACATGGCTTCCAGCATCACAGAGTAAAATACTACTGCTTACACCACCTCTAAAGAGCCTAATTAGTTTTGGGGCCTAAATTAGTTTTTGAAAAGTATATACAAAGCCCCCTGATAAATAGCTTGTTATAATGAAATACAGAGTATTATTTATTCTCATAACTTATTGAAACATTGTGACAGGAGGAAGAAGCAGATGTTGATGGAATTCAGTATAAAACACTACGAACATTTCACCACGGAGTCAGAGTCGATGGCATAGCCTGGAGCCCAGAGACTAGACTTGATTCATTGCCTCCAGTAATCAAGTAAGTTTAAAGTATCTGCTGCAATATTTATTAATGTCCTTTGTGTGAAGTAGTCTAAAGGATGTTTCTTTTGTTTTGTTTTCTTTTGTTTTGTTTTTAATAAAGACTTCTTCTATTTTCACAACCCCAGATATTAAATACGTTGACATTTGCTAGTACTTAATCATTTAGGCCTAGCATCTGATCTTGTCATTTGAATGTGAAACTATGGGGACCAGCAGATGGTGTAATGGTTACATCACTGGACTCCCATGTAGTCGACCACGGTTCAAGTCCCGGACCCAGCAGCTAAAACTCATGCCAGGCACATGTGCTTACATGCCCAAGATCCTGGGAGAACAGTGGAGGAGAAGGGATTACAGCATGGCCATCTTCCCTGGGGGCGTGGGGGTGATTTTTCTTTTTTTCTCTCTCTCTCTCTGTCTCTCTGACATCTGCATGTACCCTATTACAAAAATCTCTCTAAAAAAAAATTTTTTTTTTAAACTGTGTAACTATGGTGGTGATGCTTTGACCAGGTGTTTGGGTCAGAGTACAGACTCTTTACCTGAGGTTCATCTGAATTATTTGAAATGTTCACAGGTTATCCACTGCATTTACCACTTGAATTATCGGAAGTATGACTCTGTTAAAATAACTAAATTTGGGGACCAGTAGTTGGCGTAATGGCTATGTCGCTGGACTCCCATGTAGTCGACCACGGTTCAAGTTCTGGACCCGGTGGCTTAAACTCACACTGCGCACGTGTGCATGCATGCCCAAGATCCCAAGAGGAGAATGGAGGAGAAGGGATTGTGCCCTTGCCATCCCCCCCCCCCAGCAGGGGGGGGGGTTTCTCACTTTCCATCTCTCTGTCTCTGTCTTTCAGGCGAGCGCACATGCCCTATAGCAACTAAATTTGGTTGAGACATTACTGAGGCTTCCTACTTCATAAGTAAGCTAGTCACATTATCACTTTTAACGGTACATAAATCTATAGTCCTAGATCTTAGACATCGTATTTTGTGGAAGCATTTTTTAAAAAATGATTACTTCTCATTTATTTTTTAATTGTCAGAGGGTATATGTGCTTGCCAGAGAGAAAGAGGGAGCACCTCTAATAAGATGTGGTTACACCACAGTCCTTTTTCCTCTATTTTTCTTTCCCATCAGATTTTGGGCACAAACACGCATGTACTCAGAATGTTTTCCAAGCCACTCAGACTGGGATTCAAACCATGGTCTGCTATGTGGGATCTGGCTCCCTTAACACACTGCACTACAGGACCAGGCCAGGAATAATCACTTTTTAAGAAAAATCTTAATAATGCCTGCTGAGGCCTTCTTTACAGGGGCAAAAACATCTCAAGTGTTTTTAAAGTTTATTACAAATTATTCACCTTGCTTCTTATAATTGTCAATTCTAAAAGATGTGTCTTCTTTTTGTATTTAGCAACAGTAAGTTGGCTATTTTTGAGCTTTTTAATTAAAAGATAATTTATATAGTGGAATTATCAGCTCTTAAGGATACAGTTTGATTCGTATTGACAAATGCATACCCATGGCCCAGACAGTGATAAACAAATGCATATACTAGTGTAACCCATACTCTATTAAATACACAGTAGTTCTATCACCTCAGAAAGTTTCTTCATCTCTTTTTCAGTTAACTTCTTTGCCCTACTGCCCGCCAAAGCAACCATTGGTCTGATTTTTATTACCAGAAATTAGTTTTGCCTATCCAGAACTTCTTCCAAATGGAGTCTTACCAAATGTGCTGTTTGTATCTCACTTAATGTTTTTGAGATTTATCCATGCTGTGCGTACCAGTGCTTTGTTTATTTGTATTTTCGAGTAGTGGTTCATTACACTGACTGAATATACCAGTTTGTTTATTTATTCTCCCAAAAACAGACATCAAGGCATAGTCTAGTTTTTAGCTATTTTGACAAATGCTGCCATGAGTATCCTTCAATATGGCTTTTGGTGGAGATATATGTGTGTGTGTGTGTGTGTGTGTGTGTGTATGTGTGTGTGTGTATATATATATATATATAGAGAGAGAGAGAGAGAGAGAGAGAGTGTTTCATTTCTCTTAGGAGAATCCTTGCCCTACATTGTAGATGTATTTTAGCATTCTAAGAAAGTTCCAGTTTCTAAAGTGGTTCCAGCATTTTTTATTTCCACCGACAATCTGAGGGTATTCAGGTTGCCCTACCTACTCTCTAGCATTTATTATTGTTGTCATTTCTTTTCATTTTAACCATCCTGATTGACACTACATTGATATTTTCCTCATGATTAATAATGTTGATCACTTTTTTTTTAATTAAAAACTTTTGCATTCTTTTTTTTTTATTTATTAATTCACTTTACACCATCACAACACACAAATGAATTTTCCATCCAAAATACACTGTGCATTGTCTCAATCAAGTACATCCACATATATGTTCTCAGCAAATAATTTTCCAATTCTTACGTCCTGCATACCTTGCCCTTTGTCTTGCCATCCC